CTAGGTACTTAACTATACAATTGGCGATAAATCGAATAAAAAAATACACAAAAAAATAAGTTTTGTATAATTAAAACAATGGCAATTAATAATAAAAACCGACAAAGTTCTTGATATGAAGCCAATTTTCTGAAGTTTGTGAAATTAGCGTGAAAAATGAAAAGTTGCCATAAGCCATTTACAGAATAGGGGCAAAGAAATTTTCAAACTTCAGCATTGGCCTGGAGCTGAGTTTTTAAGGTCCGAGCATCCTTGGCTGGAGGCCAGAATATATAATGGCTCTCTGCCGAATGGGTTAATCATATTTTATACTTATCTTGTGAAACTATTCCACATTAACAATTTAACAGCATTCAAGAAGTTATTTGTTTCACAGCATTTCATATAATTGTAACTAGGAAAATATAATTTTAAAGTTGACGAGGAAATTAGAGACACCAGGCTTGGAGAAGGATGCCTGGATTGACAGAGATGGGTAGACAACAAATATCCGAAGACAGAAAATTGTAGACCGATAATTATATAAAATTGTAATTTTTGAGTAGTTGTCTTCTGGACTACCACCTGATATTACCAGACTAAAAGAGATTATCTGTGAAATTTAACTCATTAGAACTCTATAGAGAGTTTTTTTCGGGTACCTACCATTAAAACCTTATTCTGGCTTTAAAATACAGAAAAAAAAATCAAATTTATTTTCTCTTGGTAAGTTGCCGTATAAAATGAAAGTAAAGCTCCAAATAACTTGAAAGTGTAGTTTATTGCAACTCTGTACGAAACTTATTTCACAAATATTTGGCGGCAAGGACACCCTTCATGGGTTATAGGGTGTATCAGGTTTGACTACAAAAATTTTAACACGTGAAAATATGGCCTATTTTGAACAAAAAAAGCTTACACAACATAGGGTCCAAACTCAAACATTTTTAAGAAAAAGGCGTTTGAAGTTTTGACATTTTTTGACAAATATTTCAAAGATAAAGAAAATTTTAATCATTATGAGATGTAAAAAAATTTGGTTTATTCAATTATCAAGTAATTATGCATTATTAGTCAACAACAATAACAAAAAATTGAAAAAACAACATAAAAATTTCACTTGAAATCGGTATCTAAACATTTGGCAACATAGCACAATGAAGAATAGGTGGTTGACGTTGAACCTTGGTTGAACTCATGGAGATAGTATATAGGGGAGGAGGCGACGTCACCTGACCAGAAGCGGTAGCGGGTCCGCCATACTGGTGCGGGTTTTGTGTCATAACTTACTGTCATTACAACTGTCATACTCAATTTCTGATTCCGAGACGTAATACCTAATTTTTGCTTATTTTGGTGTTTTTTCGACCTGCTTGTGTTGTGTATGAGAGAAGTATAATGTCTTCATGTGCAGTAAGAAGTTGCTGCAGCAGTTTTTACGTAGAAAAGAAGAAATCAACGGGAATATCATTTCATAGGTGAGTATAAACAACATTCAGGATCGGACTTCAAATTTTTTGTTGTAGTTTTAATATGTAGTTATGTTTTGAGAATGCAGATTGCAGAAAGAAGATACTTGAATATTAGAATGGCATACCTGATAAAAAATAAACCAAAAAAACCCATTAGTGAGAGACATCAAAGCAATAAGCTTACATTATTTAAGGGTCAATGAAATTTTTATGTAAACAATAAGATTAAGCGATGTGGTAATTTTTTTTTTTTATATCCTGCCTTTATATTTTTGCTAACATTTATTAAATAGTTGTTTTTTTCGAAGTGTTTTTGTTAAATAACGATATTTTTGTTCCTTGTGTATTATAAATGTGATATAAATATATTACGATTACGATTACGATTACGATATACAACAGTAGGCGGTTATGACCGATGAAACTGTTGATTATTTGATGGTTACATTTCACAATAGTTTTCATTCTATATTTCCACTAATAACTCATTACTGGCCGAAATGCGAAACAATGTTTTCTAGTGTGTCACGTTGGGTGTCAAGTCTATTTTTAAAAGAATTGATACTTGGAGCACAAACAGTATCCTCAGATAGCGCATTCCAATGATAAACGATTCTATTACTTAAAAAGTTTTTTCTGGGAAGTTTGGCATTTCTTTCCTTCTCCAATTTCTTACTATGACCTTTTAGCTGTGTATTTGTATTTGCATGAAATATATTAAGGTTTGTTTGGTAATATGGCAGCAATATCTTATATGTCTCTATAAGGTCTCCTCTCAAACGTCTTTCCCTTAGTGTTGTTAGATTTAGTCTCCTCAGTCTTTCAGGGTATTCCAAATTTGCCAATTATACTGGGATTTTTGTGACCCGTCTCTGAACTCTTTCTAAAAACTCTATATCTTTTGCAAAATATGGATTCCATATCGTCCCTCCATAATCAAGTTTTGGTCTAATATATGTTTTATGCAATTGCATTATTGTTTCTATGGATCTATTTGAGAAGGCTTTTTGAATGCAGTTAAATGAGAGTGTTTGACTTTTTTACAACTTTGTTGACATGCGACTCCCATTTTAAATCGGAGGTTATAATAATGCCAAGATCATTTTGTTGGTCGACATGAGTTAAAGATGTGTTGTTTAGTTGGTAATTATGGACGGTTCTATTCGTTCCTATGCTAAGTACTGTACATTTCTCCTCGTTGAGTTTCATGCCCCACATTTTGGTCCATTTTTCTATTTTTTCAAGGTCTTCTTGGAGCTGTCTATGGTTGTTCGAATTTGAGAATAATTTGGCGTCATCAGCAAAAAATATAATAGTAGTTTGTATTTGCATAGATAAATCGCTAATGTACAATAAAAAGAATATAGGACCAAACACTGTTCCTTGAGCAATACCGCTGAGACATGTATGTATAGTGGATAGCTTGCCATTTATCCTGACTTGAAAAGTTTTTTTTGTCAAGAAGATTGATAGGCATCGGAAGAGCTCGCCATCAATACCATAATGATCCATTTTATGTAGCATTTTTTTAAAGGGTACTTTATCAAACGCTTTTTCAAAATCCAAATAAATGACATCAACCTGTTCACTTCTGTCAAAACTTTGAGTCCACGAGTTGATGCATGTTGTTAAGTTAGTCGTGGTTGATCTTTTTGGTAAAAATCCATGCTAATGTTCTGTTATAGCGTTGTTTTCAAGAAGAAACGGAGTTAATTCTTTGGCAATTACTTTCTCGAAGCATTTACTTATGTTGGATGTTAGGCTTATTGGTCTGTAGTTCGAGGGTAACTGCTTATCGCCCTTTTTATATAATGGCGTTACGATTGCATGCGTCCATATATGCGGTAATCTTCCATTCATCAATATTTCATTCATTGGTTCTGCCAATGGTTTACTGATATAGTTAATACATTTTTGTAGAAATATTGCAGGTATGTCATCGGGACCAGGGCTAGTGTCAGTTTTTAGGCTTCTTATGGCTACAGAAATATTTTCTTCAGTAAAGAGAATTGTTCTTAATCTGTTACGATTTATTATACTGTCTGAAGCAAGGGAAGCTCATCATCTTCGTGCTGAGAGTAAACTTTTGTGAATTGTTCTGCAAAATGTTCAGCTATTTCAGAGTCATCAGTTATTAAGATATCCGAGTTTTTTAAGTTAATTTTGGAAACATTTGAATTGAGATTACGTTTGACATATTATTTAAAAAACTGCTTATTGTTAGGGGAGGAGGCAAGTTTTTTCTCAAATTCGCTCCTAGAGATTCTTATTTTGTTCTTAAGTTGATTATTGTGGGTCCTGTAGATCTTATATTTTTCCTCTGAGGGTGATTTTGAATAGCTATCCCATAGATTTCTCTTTTTGTCTATGTCCTTAAATAGGTGATCGTTCAACCATGGTTTCTTTAGATTTCCTTTGGATGTGGTTATAGGAATAAATTTTGTCTTCGATGATGTCAATGCATTTGTCATACTTATTTACTGAATGCTGGTTAGAGTTGAAGTTCTGCTGGCATAGAAAAAGGTTAATTTGATCATAGTCCGCCTTCCAGAAGTTTCTTTTTGTGATTTTCTTCGTTATTCTTTCTTTGCACTTCAATTGAGATTTTGCAGTAATGACTATATGATCGCTACGGCCCAATGGTGGATGCTGTTCAATGTCAAAGAGCAGTTTTTTGTCGTTTACTAGGATGAGATCTAGCAAGGAACTCTGATCATTTCGAAATCTCGTTGGGAAGTTGACTAGTTGGTAAGCATTCATTTAATGATAGTTATTAAGGAAGAGTTCATTCAGTTTGTCTGATTTTCTTAGATTAAGTTTTTTCCAGTCTATTTGTGGATAATTGAAGTCGCCGACTATGTACACAGGTATTTCCAGGGAAAAGGCTTCTGTTAAAGCTGTTATCATTTCAGTGTCAGTTTGTTCAGTTGAATAATCAGTTCTGTATACACAGCAAAGTAACAGCTTTAGGTTGTCAATTTTTAATTCAACCCAAAGAGATTCAACTGGGGGTGAAGTTTTAAATTTTTTGGACATGCATGCATGAATTCTGTGGCCACAAACTTCTTCCTTAATATATATACATATCCCCCCTCCAGCCTGTCCTCTGTCCCGCCTAAATAAGCTATAGCCTGTAACGCTAACTATGCTGTCATTGATTTGGCTGTTAAGCCAAGTTTCTGTTATACACATAAAAGTTGGTTGGTGTTTTTGTATTGATGCCATCCATTCACCGATTTTGTTTGTAAATGACTGTATATTTGTGTAGGCAGACTTCAATTATGTTATTTTTTAGTTTTTTGTCGCGTTTGTGTTATTAAGAACAATTCTAGGGATGGAGTTGACATACTTTATTTTAAGATTCAATTCGCCCTCTTCTGTTCGTTTTTTTAGCTGTTCGAGTGTTTCTTTTAGGAAGTTTCTTTGCATAGGTGTTTGGTCTGCTTTTATGTAAATTTTTTTTTGAAGCATCAAGCTTGTTTTTTTGTCTTAAGATCTTTAGAGCTTCTGGTCTAGTTGAAAGAATAACTTTTAGAGGTCTAACCTTACCTGGTTCAGCTTTTCCAAGCCTAAAGACTTTTGTTGAAGCTGTGGGGACGCTACGATCAATGCTGTTAATAACACTATTTGCTTTCTCCACATCTGTGCCAGCTTCGTCTTCCGATGATGTTTGTGACTCCTCCAATCCGAATATAAGTATGTTTGAGGCACGTTTTTCACGCTCTGATAATTCCTCTATAGTTGGTAAAATATTACACTTGCTGCTGATTACCTCTTCCGGTTTAATATTTTCAACTTTTTGCTTAAGCTTGCTCATATCTCCCTGTAATGCTTGATATTTTTTTGTTACCTCAGCATAGCTTTGATTTTTTGTATTTATGGTTGCTTTAATATCTTTAAGTTCATCATTTAGTCCCTCAATTTGTATTGGTATTTTTTTTCAGTGTTTTCCCTTAGTTTGTTAAGCTCAGACTCCATAGCCTCCACCTGCGATTTAAAAGTGGGTACAAAATTAGTGACTTCAATGACCTCCTTTAAACTAGATTCAATTGTTTCAATTTTGTTTTGAACTCTAGGAAGCTCTCCCCACATTCAGAAACAATTTTTAGGCCACATAAAAACAATTAAATACATGTAAAAATTGAAATAACAATAGAGTTTGAATTTCAAATATATTTCAGCTGAATCCAACCCTGATCATGCGGCCATATTGGTGCTGGAATAAGCTCCAAAAAATGATCCCTGTATCAATGCATACTCGTATATGACAACAGCGTCTCCTTTTATATACTATCTCAATGGTTGAACTGAATAAATTGATTCTTGATTTGTCGTGTCTAGCTGGGAAACCCGCGTAATTCAAATTCTTTTTTTTTTTTTTTAAATAAAATGTTTATACAAACGTCGAATATGCAGATACTTGTTTAGGCAGAATCGTTACAAAATGCTCATTTAGCTGCCAGAATTTACAGGGAAACTAGAGAAAGATTTCCCAAGAGAAAAGCACCCACCGGATGAAAGAACATTGTGCCCCTTTTACAAAGATGCGTGATATAAGAAGTGTGAGTGTACAAAATCTGCGTGTTGATTTTAGTGTTTTGAGAACCTTTTAACAAAAAATAATATTTTCACAATAAGGATTTGGCACGTAGCTGAGTAAGTATTATTTAATTTTTCTCTTGAATGTTTGGTGCAAAAATGCCATTGAGTGCAATTCATAGCTTAATAAAACGGCACATTTTTTATTTTTACTAGAAAAGTAATAAAAATGCAAGTTATTATTTACATTATTTGAAAACCAATAACAAACCAAAACGTAAACAGATGGAAATAAATAAACTCCGTGCAAAAGAAAACTTTTAATTTACCAGTTTTATTTACATTTATATCCTAGCAGAGATAATACCCGCACAATGTTGTCACGTTGTTAACATTTTTCTAAATTTAAATTCTGCCGTAACTTCGAAAATATTAACAATTGACCCATGGTTAATAGGAGAGTTTTAGCTTGAAATGGGCCATATTATCTCATGTTAAAATATTTGTACTCATACCTGATACACCCTGTATTTATTTATATGTTATTTACAAGAATTTGGGTTCCCGTAATAGAGGTACCGGGTACCGATAATTGGAAACATCTTGTTGGGATATTGATGTTTACAGGACATTGGTTTTAAAAATAATTCCAGCCAGCACATCTTTAAAACCTAAATAATCAATGAGTTATAAAGTACCTACCTAATTGATGGGGGACCAAACAAATGGTGGAATTTGTTAAAGACAGGAAATGTGATAAGCATAATTCTTATATTAGAAATAAAATGATGAATTTACTGTTTCACAACAATGTCATTAATTTTTCTTTTAGTTACAAAAAAAAAAAAAAATTATTAAAGCGAATTTCTACTCTCAAATCCCAGAAATTATGATGGTTCTCAAATTCTCTATTATTAGAATTGTTCTTTGGAAACTGCTTCCTTTTGCTGAATCTGGATCATTGTTTACATTTTTGATTAAATATTTTAGAGGATAATTCTTAGTTGAAATATGATATTGAGGCCTTAAAGCAAATTTTAGGTCTAGAAATTACACTTTGAAGCTTCTAAAAAATCGTCCCCAAACTAATGGATCACTCGATAGCTGTAAAATATGTCAGGCTTAAAATAGGAAATGATAAATTATTTAATATTCTTGCAAGTCATTTATCTTTATTAATAACTTATTTTACTAATGATCCAAAAATTAGTTTCTCTAAAAAAGCAAAGTTAAACTCTTCTAAATTATTCGGCTTTTTTTTCAATTATAATAAATAAAAAGATCCTGGTCAATCCGCATGAGTCATCGAATAATTTTTTCCATGAAATTTTAATAATTTTAATAAGAGAATATTTTTTTTGCCCGGCATTTTTCAATATCCCAAAATTGATTTTTATAAACTGAAGAAGAGAAAATATATTGCCTACAAAAACAGAAATTTCCTACATTGAAAATTTTTCTTATTCAAATGTGCAGGTGAAAACCCATAAAAGACATAGAAACGTATGGTAATAAATGGTAGAAAATTTTTACATTTCCATTCCATGTTTGTAAATTCAAGTATACCTACACATGTAAAATATAGTATTTTTTTTCTGAAGAAGATTCTGATTTGAGCCATAATTTTGATTAAATTATTACTGGAATATAACTTGATTTTATTCCATTGCCACTGCATAATGCCTAGCATCTAGCAATAATTGAATAGGTAATAATTATCAGTTGAAATTTCTAAATTGAAGTCATAAAGGCAAATATTTGGTTTTGAAAATCAAACTACTATGCGGGATAATAATTTCTGAGAGTAAATTTGCGTTCGGGATGCACAAATTACTGCCGGATTTGTACACACAAAAGGTTCATAAATGCATAGCTTCAGGAACGTTGAAATTTATTTTTGAAATTGGGAAAGTTACAGGCGACTGATTATTACAAGAATTAGTTGAATTAGATAAGAGATTGCAAAGCCTTCAAATTATTATTGAGAATACATTTTTGTTGGTGAATTTAATATTCGTTTTGAAAAGCGAAAGAAATAGTTCAATAGTAAATAATTTTTGAAATCTAAATTAGAATGGGAAATTATAAAAACAAAGAATTTAATTTTCTTGCTTACACTTTCACATTATCCATGAATCCGTGAATTGTCTACGTCATAATATATGAATCTGTTACTTCAGAAAAATGTAATCCGTTTGACATTTGTAGATTTGTTTGAATGGAGATGGCGCAGAGGCGTCCTCTACCACTGCAACCTTATCAGATTTATTGTGGTATCTCCTATCTGTCCTTTGAGTGCGTTCTCTAGACCCGTGTATTTTATTAGACTCCAGAGCCATCATACTGGCCACCCGCTTGCCGGATTGGCCTTTTCCTCTCTTGACATTTAATTAGTGTTGAAAACTACCCTCCTGCATTTAATACGAAAACGACAGAATTTTGCGCACTTTCGATCTTAAATTAAATAGACTCCAATTATAGATAAGTAAAACAATATTTTGCTAGCAGAACTCAGGTAGAAAACATTATGATTATTGAATATTGATCTCAAGGCGGTTACACACGGACGTGGATGTATGAAAACATGTACGCACATACATGAACGTACAAACAAAAACATCAATGTGTATGCAAAATACCGTCGCGTTTTTGAATATGCAATTTTGTATGCACGCTCGGATTACTGTAGCAAGAATAGCAAGACTGCAGTTTTGTGCGAGCGTCTGTACAAAAGCGCCATGCACGTTCTTGGTTGCACGTTGATGTATGCACGTATATGTATTAAGACATCCACGTCTGTGTGTAACCGCCCTTATACATCAAGTGCTCATTATTTTTCTGCTACCGATTTTTCCCTTTATCGAAAAATTCCCATTTTATTTCCGCGATTTTGAATTTATTGTAAAGAAGCTCTATTCTATAATGAATACAAAAACTTTTTGCAATCGTCTGTAACTTGTACAATAATTGAAAAAAGGACTAACTAGCTTCAGCTTTATTGGACATATTGCATTTTGTATCAAAATTACCTAGGTACCTATAACATAAAAATTTCAGTCTATTATACAATGAGAATTTCATACATCTGTCAAAACTACCATTCCAACAATGAACTGACATGTTTGATTTGAACCAATCAGATTGGAATTACGAAAACTAAAAAACTAAAACTAAAAATGCATTCGAGAAAACTTCTCAAAAATTATCGATAATTTTCATTGCCTTCGTTATATTACTATTGATAATTTAAGCAAGTTTCCAATAAAAATTCTTAAATCAGCTGCTACGAGGGTTGAAAATATTAAGCATACTTCGTTAGGTCTATTGCAACCTAATCGACTATAAAGCCATACGATAATACATCATATTTGTGGGAAATCTTGCTCGAAAGCTGATAATGATAGGTATATTAAATTTTTGGTGGTAACTAGAACAAATATTTGCAAGTAAATAGGCTTTATCAGTTTATATTCACGTACACGGACAACAAGAAAGGGTTCTACATTATTGGCTATATTTGTTCACACATCCAGAGGTTTTTAATTTACGCACCTACATATAAAAGTCGCTATTGAAGACGAAATATGGATTTTTCTTGATTTCTCATTCTTTATACTGTTCAAAATTTGAAGTTTTTTCCAACTTTAGGCATGGAGCATTTTCGAACCCTAATTTATTATATTCAAAATTATACGCCTGTGTATTGACTTAAAAGCCTGGGACCTTAAAATTTAGTACCCACCTACATAATTTAAGAATGTATGATCGTCATATTTTGTCTTTTCTAGATTATATTCAGTGTCTATTGGAATATCCTTGAGTTTTCAATATTTTTAGAAACTTTTTTTTCATTATTCACAATAATTATTGATGTTATTAATTATTGAAGGCACAACATTAAATTTTTCATGGCACACAATTTTAACAGATCGTAATTTTAAAAACAAGTACTTTTTTTCTTGTAATTTCTCAGCACCAGATAGAAGTGAATTAATGACCATAGTCATAGCTTATGGCCCATATATTAATTTATGCAGGGGGCACGATTCAGCTAAATGGAACACCCTTCAAACCGTTCTGGCTTCATCCCTTTGAACACGTGTTGCAACTTGTTTCGTTGAGATTACGACCCAACCACTTTGCATGAAGTTCGGCTTAATTTGACCGGGCTGACTGGAGATAAAATAGATTTTCCAATAGCTCCCTATTTTGGAGTTTTAGTTTAGTTGAATGGCTCGTATTGGTTCAGAAAGAAAAATAATTATTACAGATAACAGA